GTACTTGTGAAGGTAGTTGGCCAAACCCAACCACTTTCGAAGATCCTTCTGGGATCGGGGCGTCGGCCATGCTGCTATGGCCTTGACCTTGTCTGGGTCAGCCCGAACGCCCACGTTGCTTACGAAGCAACCGAGAACTTTGATCTCTGGTGACGCGAAAACGCACTTGTCGATGTTGGCGTAGAGCTTGTTCGCTCGCATCACGTCCAACACTCGACGGAGGTGTCCTAGATGCACCTCCATGGCCGTCTTGCCTCCCTCGGCACGGCTATGGACGAAAATGTCGTCGAAGTACGTCTGTACGAAGGTACGCAAAGGGCGGAACAATTGCGTCACCAGGCGATTGAACGTCGCCGGGGCGTTAGACAAGCCCTGCGGCATGACGAGCCACTCCCAAAGCATGCCGCTTGGAGTGCTTACCGCGGTGAGCGGGATGTCACTCTCTTGCATCAGGATTTGGTAGTATCCGTCTACCAAATCCAGCGCACTGTACAGTACGCTCCCGGCCATGTTGTTCAACAACACATCCTTTCGTGGGATCGGTGTTTGGGCCGGCACCGTTGCGTTGTTCAGCTTGTTATAAGCGTGAACCAGACGCCACTTTCCGTTCGGCTTACGAACGCAGAAAGTCGGCGTCGAGTGCGGGGATTTCGACTCCCGCACCATGCCTGCCTTCGCTTTCGCGGCGAAGAAGGCATCAATGACCTCGCACTGTTCGCGCGGGAGAGGCCATTGCCTCGTGACACAATACTTTGTGCCGGGCACGAGATCAATCTCGTGCCGTACGCCTCGATCCGGTGGGAGTTGGGTCGGTGGGTGTTTATTCACCACGTCCGCATACTCCGTCACCAAAGGATACACCGGATCCTTGGGGTTCTTGAGAATCTCAGAACCCAAGCGCGCCTGACGCTGCTTGTTCATGTCTTCCAGGACGTTCTCGTCCAAGACAGAGGAGGAGTTCAGCTCCTCCTGAGTGGTCTCAGGTCTCATGAGTACCATCTCAGCGATCTCTCCAGCCTTGAGGTTGGCCAGGAAAGACTCAGCCGTCATTTCCTCGAGGTTCAGTATCTCTGCAACCTCTGGCAACGGTTCCAAGTGGACACCAGATGGCTTGACGGGTAAACCCGTCTCGCTATCGAAGATGTGATAACACTCTTCCACCGGCCTTGTCGGAGGAGCCCGGGCCCTGGACTCCGAGTCGCTTGAAGCGACGTCGATCGGAACGAAGTTCGGATCCGACTTGAGGCGGCGGCGGCGTCTTTGCCGACGGCTTCTGTGACGGGGAGCTTTGCTGCCCACGTCTAGGGATGTCGTCGCTACGACATCCGAGGCACTCGTGGCCTCGTGTGGTACTGTTGTACCCACACAGGAAGCGTGTTCAACGCCTTCCTCTTCAGTTAAGGTCTGGGCGACCGCGTGTGGCACTGTGTTACCCACACAGGAAGCGTGTTCAACGCCTTCCTCTTCAGTTAAGGTCTGGGCGACCGCGTGTGGCACTGTGTTACTCACACAGGAAGCGTATCCGACGTCTTCCTCTTCAGTTATGGTCTGGGCGACCGTGAGTGGAACTCTGTTACCCACTCTGAACACGCTGTTCTCAGTGTTCATGACAGCTGCAGCTGTCTGCGGAACTAAGTTACCCGCCTGTGGACCTAAGTTACCCACTTGGCCGGCGCCTCTCCTGGGCGCGGCCACCATCAAAACATCCTCGGAGTCGTCATATACGTCGACGACTCCCAAGCATCTGCCGGATGCTTTGGTACCCTGGCAGCCCTCGCGGGCGCCCCGGGTCCTGACAGAGGTGGGAACATGACTCACCAATGCTCTGTCGGACTGCGCAGGGCGGCTGGCACCGATTGCCTTGCCTCGCCAGTCGATCCAGGGCTCGTGCTTCTCAAGCCAGGGCATGCCCAGGATCATATCATATGGATCCATATCGAGAACAGTGAACTGTTCGAGGCTGTCAAAGTCTTCAAACTTGACAGCCAGATCCACTTGGACGTTGGGGACAGTGACGACCTTCCCGTCGGCCAGTCGCACTGACACCGTCCCGTTGCCCTTGCTTTCTCGCAAAGCTTCGGACAACTTGTTGCTGTTACGAGCAACCGTCTGGCGGCGTGCGAAATTCTTCGACGCCCCAGAGTCAATCAAGATTCTAAAGGGGTGATCGTACCCCCGTACACATCCGTGTACTACGAGCAACCCGCCGCTGCTCTTCGCCGATTCGAGAGTGCGAAGACTCTCAGGGGCTAAGTCCCCGTGGTACGCGCCACCCGCGCACCCATCACGAAGACTTAGTTCTTCCCCAGTAGGGCGCCCCGCCCCTACTGGTTCCCTGCGTTCCCCTGTCCCCGGGATCCTGGCTTCTGCCAGCGACCCTTGAGGACGGGCTTGGGGAAGGACCGTCTGCGGAGTCTTTCCGCGGGACAGTCGCGCTTGAAGTGGCCCATCTTCCCACAGCCGAAGCAGCGGATGTCACGCTGTTCGGCGGACCCGAGTTCCATGGGAACTGGTCCGTTGGGGCTTGTTCGACCGGGAGCCGACAAGGAACTCCCAGGCCACGCTGAGGCCGGCGTACGCGCCTGGCGATGGCTGTATTCTTCTTGAAGAGCCACTTGAATCGCCTCTTCAAGGGTGCTTGCCTGCACCCGGAACAGCTGAGTGCGTGCGGGGCCCACTCGAAGGCCGTCCATGAACACAGTCATCTTGATGTGTTCATTGAGTGGGTTTCCCACTAGGGACGCCGTGAGCTCCCGTATCTCTTGCACATACTCGTGCAGTTCGCGTCTTCCTTGTTTACACGCGAGGAAGCGCGAACGCTGGCGGTACTCGTAGTTCGCCGGGAGGAACGCGGCTCGGAGCTGTTGGCACAGCTGAGCCCAGGATGTGAAACATCCAGGGGATGTCGCTTCCCGAGTGTACACCCAACTCTTAGCACGACCGCTAAGGTTGGAGAGTGCAAAAGCAACACGCAGTTGCTCGGTCGAGATCAGAGCCGCGTCCATCGCGAGCTCTACTTCTCGGACCCAGAAGTGAAGGTTCTCGCCTTCCTTCCCTTCATACGGCTTTACCTTCAGCCGTATTGGCTTCGGGTGAGGCGGGTTTGCTTCCGCCGCCGGAGCCTGCAGGTTCTCCCGCACATGCGCGATGAGGCCCTGCTCGTACGCGTCGAATGCATTGACGCGCTCGAGCTGCTCAGCCGGTGTTGATACCACCAGGCTCTGCAGGGCCTCCATCCCGAAGATGCCTGCCATCTTCCGAACCGACTCGAACTAAGAGTCGTTCATATGGGAGAAGTCGTCCCTATCCATGGCAACGAACTTCGGAGGTTCAGGTAGTCTACCCGCGATGGCGTGGATTGACTACAAGTGCTACCAAGTGTGACGGGGTCACACAGCACCTTGCGCTAGAGGAAGTTATCTTCCGAGAGTATACAAACTCTCGGTGAACGGCAGTTCACAGGTCCCCTCTTTAATTAAAGAGAGCGGAGTGACCTAAATAAGGTAGATTGTAAACTGAGTATATTTATAGGTAGGTAAGTTTGAGGTTAATACAAACTATCAGTTACCTATAGAAATGCAATGTCATTTAACCAATGGTTGGTTTTGAATGACCTTGGTACCTTGTACCAAATATCCCGGAGTATGACATGTCATACTCCTGAAGTGTGAAGTGTCACACTTCATGTAACCAGGGTACACTTAGTGCTACGTACCCCGTTACATAAAGTGTCCTATTGTCCTAAAACCTGGGATAAAAACTAGCAATTCGGCTCATAAAAAAACCGATATTTAGGACAACACAATGAGTTTTAGGACGAAACAAGCCAGGGTCCGCGTGTCCTAATAGGACACTCGACAACTGGACACTCAGCTGTCCTATTAGGACAGACTGCAGCTCAGACCACTGTCCTATTAGGACAACACCAAGCCCAACATGTACTGTCCTCAAAACATCCTCAACTGGCCTAGCTAGAAACAATAATCATCTTAGCGCCCCTCTCTCCAAGAGCAGCCGACTCTTTGTTGTGCGCGAAAAGCACCTCAACGAAACTTTTCTACTTCAAAGTGTGTGACAATATTTTTAAAGTGTTTCAAAGGATGATAGTCATTGAAGGTAATAATAGCCGCTAATAACGGTTGAGCGACTTCAACATGCACAGCAAACGACGGTTAATAATCAGAACGTGACGACAAAGGGGGGGGGCTCAAAAAGCAGCAAAGTACTCACAAGGGCTACTTGGCTGCAAGTCGATCCGAAGACGCGGTTAGCAAGCGATGGGGGTCTTGGTTAGCGCGGCGGTGTGCTCGGCCTGGTTCGTCAAGTTGTCTGGCGTCGTCGGGGTGTCGACAACAGGTGCGTTTGTGGCAGGCGAGTCCGGGCTGGGAGCCGACGTCGATGGGCAGTTGGACGGCACGTAGACTACCAGGTCGGCCTTCAGGTTGGAACCGACACCGACCGGCAGTTGGCACTCCTCCAGGTTCATGGCCTTCACGTCAGCGAGCAGGGTGTTGCAGGCAGTCGAGGCGCACATCTTGTCAATGGTGGCCTGGTCCGGGATCTCAGTGGTCCGTGCCGCACTGTTGAACGTTCGCGCTCGTGAGCAGAGCGGACAAGACATTGCTTCCGCAGGTGGCAGCAGAGGCCAGATAGACGAGCGCCCTAGCTGCAGAAGGAGTAGCCGCGATGGTCCATGATGCTTTCAGAAATGGTTGGTGTGCCCAAGGACAATAAGTAAAGCCAATGAGTTTTAAGTAACTCTTACGTAAATTTACGTAGATAGTCCGGAAAAAGTTTTTATTTGAGGTTTAGGACAATCTGGAGGACACAAATTATAATATTCTGTAACGAAGGATTAGTCGCTTTTTAGGACACATCTCCAAAATCTCCCTGTAAAATTTAGGACAAATAGGACAGTTTAGGACCTACACCCGCCCGCTCTCGTCCCTCTAACTGTTTGCGCAGTGTCCGCGTCCCTTGCTCTTGAGAAGGCAGGAGAAATGAAATCCAACGAAACGGTCTTCGTGTCTGCAGCTGCAGGAGCCACCGGTCAATTCGCTGTCCAACTCGCCAAGCTTGCTGGAAACCACGTGATCGGCGCCTGCAGTTCGGATGAAAAGGTCGAGTACCTTAAGTCACTCGGTGTAGACCGCGCTATCAACTACAAGAAAGAGGATCTTAACGCTGTCCTAACAAAGGAATACCCAAGCGGCATTGATCTCGCTTTCGAAGGTGTTGGCGGCGACATGTTCAAGGCCGTTCTGGACAACATCGCCATTTTCGGCCGCATCATCGTCTTTGGTAATTGCTCCCACTACCACGGCGACGCTGGCGACGAACCGCAATACGGTTATCAGCAGAACCGCAAGATGCAATTGCGCTCCGCCTCGCTGCGTGGCTTTCAACGACGCCACCACCCGAAGGACGAGCCTGAGCACTTGCAGCGTCTCGTAAAGCTTGTTCAAAAAAGGAAAACTGAAGGCAGGCATAGACCCCACCGTGTTCCAAGGATTTGAGAGCATTCCTAAAGCCCTTGAGCGTCTGTACGCCCAGAAGAACATTGGCAAGCTCATCGTCCGTCTGTAGATTGCAACTTGAAGTGAACCGCTTACGGGCCTCTCTTAATAAATCCAAGCTTAGTCTGATTCGTAATCAAAAACCCGGGTCTCACACGTCGCATGATTCCAATCCAATTCGATGCTCTTGCACTAGCGTGTCAATTGCACGGTAGTGCCCAATTTGAGTTTGAGATGCCTTCATTCCGCCGCGTTCAAGTCCACACGTGGTCGACGAACTTCCGCAAGGCCACGAAGATCGAGGTGGACCAGGAGCTGCCTAAACCGTCGGCTGGTAATGTGGTGGTTAAGAACCATTTCCTCGGTATCAACGCGACGGATATCAACATTACGAACGGAGGCTACGGCCGCACGTCGCTCCCCATCAACTGCGGGCTCGAAGGAGGTCACCTACGACACAGACTCAAATCATATTATAGCTGTTAGAATGCATACTAACAAAGATATTGTGGTGTATACAGTGGGCGTTGTGGAGTCTGTGGCTGAGGGGGTGACCGACGTCAGCGTTGGCGAGACCGTCGCTTACCAACGTAAGCTCAACACCTTTCGACACTATGGCTACGGACAATCTCATTTCATGGTTGGTTGCTTATTGGTGTAGATTTGGGGGCCTTTGCCGAGTACACGGAGGTTCCAACGGCCAAGATCGTCAAGACGCCGGAGTTGTCGCCGTCCGTGATCCCCCTCACGGTCTGCGGCGTATCCGCGTCTCTGGCTTTGGAGAAGGCAGGTGAAATGAAGTCCAACGAAACAGTATTCGTGTCTGCCGCTGCCGGTGCTACTGGGCAATTCGTTGCGCAGCTAGCAAAACTGGCTGGTAACCACGTTATTGGGGCGTGCAGCTCCGACGAGAAGGTGGAGTACCTCAAGTCACTTGGTGTAGACCGCCCTATCAACTACAAGAAGGAGGATCTAAACGAAGTACTCAAGAAAGAATACCCGGCTGGTATTAACCTCGCCTTTGAAAGTGTGGGCGGGGAGCTGTTCAAGGCGGTGCTGGACAACATCGCGATCTTTGGTCGCATCATTGTGTTCGGTAATGTTTCGCACTACCACGGTGATGCTGGCACGGACCCGCAGTACGGGTACCAGCAAAACCGCAAGATGCAGCTCCGTTCCGCTTCGCTGCGTGGGTTTCTGCTCTTTCACCACGCTCAGCATGCCCATGAGCATCTGCAGAATCTGCTGAGCTTGATCAATGAGGGCAAACTGAAGGCTGGCATTGATCCTACCGAGTTCCGCGGCTTGGAGAGTATCCCGGATGCCATTGACCGCTTGTATGCGCAGAAGAACATCGGCAAGCTCGTGATCAGGCTGTGATCGGTGCCCGATTGCCCGACGTAAGGAAGGGTAAAACAATATACGTAAGGTGGACCCGTTAACTTCAGTACTGCTTCAACTATCAGTGGGAGACGACGACGAATCTGGGACCAAGGCATACTCAAGAATGCAGACAAACAAGTTGGCTTTGTAGGACTGAGCAGTAAAACTAAGAGAAAGTAAACGTCATGAGACGACCTAAGCGTTCAACTCCTCACACTACCCCACGCCTGCGATGGATGGAATCCGCATCTCCAGGCGTTCCGACTCCAATGGACTTAGTGATGTCCTGGCTGGAGCGTAATGGGGAGGCATTCCGCACGTCCAAGCGCAAAATCGATCTGTTAGAGCAGCTGGGAGAAGAGATGGCGACGAACGGAATCTACGGATTGACGATTAGCTCTATCCGTTCGCAAATTTATCGTCTGAAGAGCGGTGTGCGAAAGAGAGCAGAAGGCAATAAATGCAGCTCGGCTGAAGCCAATCACTACTTCGATCGCCTTTTGCCACTAATGTTTACTGAGGAGGAGAGGGCGAACATGCGCGATCGTGCTGCGGAACGAGCTACTGCTGGGAATGATGCAAACAAGCAAGAGAAAAACACGTCGCCCTCTGGAAACCGCAAAAGTCAAAGACCGCGTACGAGGTCGGTGGTGCCTTGTGATACTGTGAGCGCGGAGTCTAATGTGAAAGACAAGAGTGATGCTGAGGATCAAGATCCCGAAGCGCGACAGCGTCCAGGTGCCATTTTGAAGCCAATTTGCCCGGTTCTGGACACGACGGAGATCCGCCGCCGCTTTGAGCTGCTTTCTGCCCGCCAAGGGTTAAAGCAACAAGGGGTTGATCCAGAGACCATTGACTCGCTCCTCCCGCTGCACTTGGAGTAGTTCGGTTCGGTTTGTTGAGACTGTTGACTTCGCTGGAAGAAAGTAATGTCAATGGCAACTTTTTCAGCTTTGCGTGCTTTGTCTTTCGCCTCCAAGCAGCGTTTGTCATGCCCGGTAAGCATGTGGTACACGCTTGGCCTGGATGAAACCTGCATCTTTTGGCGGGTTGAGCCCCATGCAACTACTGTACTTGTTGTTTGGCTTCATTGTCACTACTTGACATACCGTAACTCGACCACCAAAGTTGAAATACTGACGGAGCTTTGCCAAGGAAATGAGAGACGCTGAAAATTCTCATTGTACGCTTCGATCGAAAATTGACAGTTTGAGGAGGGAAGCACGAAAAGAACGGATCCGGGATAATCGACACTCCCAAGCGTTTGAAGAGTACCATCAGTCTCTGCTGGCAATTGTCTTGCCAACGAAGGTGAGCACGAAGACACGAGCGATACAGAGACGTCAGACGGACCTCATACCCCATGGACATATCCGCAGCCGACTATTCAAGACGGATCAAGGAACACCCCGATCATCATTAGGATAGTGATATAGACGATGAACTTGGAATAACTCGAGCTGTGATGTATGGCGTAGCTGATACTTTCGGATACCTTTAATACGACGGCGTTTTAAGTTGGTATGCGCACGATACGATCTTGAAGCAGGTTACTACCATTTCCGAGGACTACGTATGCAATCATTATTAGTGATCCTTTTTTTTTACTTTAGTGGAGGTTGTCTTTCGCCAGTTTCACTTTCACATTGCAGGAAGCGACGCAACTACACGATGGATCAATCTGAGGCTGCGCCGGCTCGCCGAGTAGCTGTCGAGTTGGCTTCAGAAGACTTACAAGCAGAGGTTTGGCCTTTTGTCCTTTTGTAGAAGCTGTGACCGCGTAAGCTAAATCCTTGAGTGTTGTCGTTGCTAGTTTGCCAGCTACTCTATTGGCGCTGGCGACTCGAACTCCCGCTTATCTGCTCTTCAAGAACGATACGATGAAGAATACGAGGCAGCGCTTGTTGAATATGATGCGGTCATACACAAGATCGAGCTACAGCGTACGAGAAAAGTCTATCAGGATGCTTTGAGCAGTGCTATTGCATTGGAGAAAGACGCTCTAGAACGTGAACCTAAGTCGACCACGATGGTTCGCGAGATCGAAGCAAACGTAGCTCCGAAGCATCTAGTTGTGCGTGGCATCTCTCAGTTGGCTTGCTGTGCACTACTGCGTGCTATGCGCAGCAACATGAACGTGACGTCTCTCGATTTATCCAACAACGGGCTCACAGATATCGTTGGTGTGGCAATTGTAAATATGCTGCGAGTCAACAAGAAGCTACAAGTACTGGATCTAGGCTTCAACCACCTCACTAACGCATCACTTCAGCCTATCGGAGAGGCCCTCAGTTTCAATACGATCCTGAATTCGCTCATTCTTAACTCGAATCCAGTGTTTCAATTGTCAATGGAGTCAACTGGCAGTACGAGCAACAATTCTAACGCCAAGCCTGGGTCTCCTACCAAAATGCCTCCACATTTAGCTGTAGCCTTTGCTCACGTGGAATCCTTCACTACAGCTCTGGCTTCAAACATCTCCCTAACTTCGCTGGATCTATTCAACACGGGTATATCTCATGAAGGCGGCCGTGCACTTGCCCATGCGATGTCAAAGAATAGCAGATTGGTCTCTGTGGAGGTTGGAAACAATATTCTGAACCAGTCAGATCTTGCAAGTATTGCAACGTCTCTGAAGAAGAACCAAGCTCGCTTTTTCGAGTCTGAAGCCAAAAGTGAACAATTGCTAGCGGACATGAAAGAACAAGCACACCAGGTTGAAATTAACAAGATCAAGGAGGCCAAGCGAGTTGCCGACGCCGAGTGGCATGGCGAAAATGCTCGCAAACGAGCTGAAATCCGTGATGCAGAGGAGTGGGATCGTGCGAAACGCGAGGCGGATGGAGAGGTGCAGCATTTGCTCAAGATGGAAGCGGAAAATAAGAAGTATTTGGAACGTCTCGAGGCAGAAAAGAGCTCTGCGAAGGGTAAAGACAAAAAGGAGTAACAGAGATAAATGGCTTTTTAACAGCTTGATAGAGAATACTTAAGTACATTTTTACAGGTACCTGTACATGAATTATCATCTGGACCAGATTCTGGTCCCGTGTGAGGCCAAAAAATGAGTTTGCTGATTTTAAATATATAGCATTAAAAAAAAACTTCTTGGAATAAACTCTACATATGTCGGGCCAGGAAATATTTCGGGTCATTGGCTTTATTGTTCCTTATTGACTTGTTACAAGTCAATAAGGAGCGATAAATTGCCCATTAGAACTACTAATAATTGTCCAATGTCGCACTCTGTACCATATCTGAAAGAAGACGGGATCCTCTTTCGAAAAAGTTATTGCGCGCGTCTATCCGACGTCAGTTGCCAAAGAATATGGCTCACAAAGAGTTCCCTTGTTGGAGAAGACTGTTAAGTCGAAGAATAAGGGTAAGAGCCCAAAGAAGGTCTCTGCCAGGACCTGGCTATCAGCAATTACCGCGGTAAATGACGGCATGCCGCTGCGGACAGCAGCAACGACATGCGGAGTGTCACGCGAGCCTCTTCGGCAGCGAGTTCATGGCCTCGTACCTCGGGGTCCTCTAGCGTGCCGTTGATTGAAGCGTGTTGCCCGGATAATGCGATGGAAGGGTCTGAGAAGGCTGGCGTGTATCCACTGTCACTCGACCGGATGATGACCGGAATGATTGGCAACGAACCACCCTTTTCAAGTGAGATATACTACCACATCTCTCCATTATTCTGAGGCATGCCACAGCCAGAAGTGAAACCGAGCGCCAAAAGCGAGCTCTGCGCGAGCGAGATCTATACCACGACGCGACCGTCTACCTTAGCTGCACCGATTCCGAAAAAACGGATACAAGGCGAGTGGGTTGATGAAAACTATTCGGGTGGCAAGCTTTTAAGCTACTACATGATGTTGGCGGTTGTTAGGTCCAACGAGAACAGGATATAATCTCGAAACGAAAGGCAAATGAAGCAGGGGCATCGGAATGAGCAAAAGAGAGAGCAGATACAGCATATAGGATGCGGAGCAGGCTGGTAAGAAAGAGTTCGGCGACAACAGTCCCGTCGACCCAAGACGGTCATATCGTGATGTCCGTTGCTCTATGAGATGAGATGTACGGTACTCCATAGTAAAAACAGCTGGCCTAAAATATGTCGATAGGGGTATCCATGACATACAAAAAATTATACGTTTGAAAAGTGGCCCGAAATATGTTCACTACGGATAGTATCTCGCACAATTGTATACCTAGAAGGTAAAGTGAAGATTGATAGAATCTACTGCTAGTATTTACCTTGCTGTAGCCTGACCAAACACTCATGGGTTCCATCCCGTCCTCATAAATGACCTGTTCCTAAAAGCATCACAGCACCCTTTGCATCTGCATCAGTTGCATAGAGATTTCAGCACGCCCTTATTGAAGACCAAGTCTTCAACTTGAATACCAACCTTCGATCTGCGAAAACCGCTTCTGTAGCTACCACACACCACCAGTAGTTGCAACTATGGGGTCAGCCATGAAAGAAGATACAACTTTGCTTTTCCCCGAATACAAAACACTAGATAAAGTCTGGGCAATCGAGCCCGGTATAAGGTGCGACATTTGGTTTTAGAGTTGTTTTACCACAAAATTATGACATTCACAGTGCGTTAGCATGAAGCGAGACTTTGCTAAGCTCAGTGATCTGTGTTGTGGACCGTGGATAATCATTAAAATACGGTACAGTGATTGGCTGATTATCCCAAGAGTTGTCATTTTTGCGAGCGGCCATCGAAGAAGATGCAACAAACCAAACCATATATAAGCAGTATATTAATATTGTGAGGTGGTTAAGGAGAGTAGATTACAGCTTGACCATCTGTAACTTGAACTTCCGCATCGTCGTCGCCGTTGCTGTAGCAGGCTTCGTCGCCTGCATCACCTTCATCTTCGTCACCATCGAGCAAGCGTCGCAGTTCGTCACCGTCTGTCTTTCCAGACAACCGACCCAATCCGTGGTTCATTAAACGTGAGTTCGGCTCGGGCAGTGAGAACGAGGCCGAGTCCAGGGGCACTAACAATGCTCCTGTGGGCTCCGTGGAAGGGCACACTCCAAGGCCCAGCGAGCACGACGGCGTGCACTCGCTCGCTAGTGATCACTCCGATCACAGGCCCAGGACGTCTGTGCGCTCTGAGAATCCTGCCGTCAAGGAAGGCTTAGGGCTCTCCCAAAGCTGGCGATGACGATGAAGAGAAACTTCTCAAAACAAAATATTTATCTCGCTTGCCGAGGGTCTTGCGCGTGCTAAGACTGTCAAAGCAACAGCCGAAGCCGCCAAGCTCTCTAAGAAACGCATGACTTTGAAGTCTCCACTCCGCGAGGAGAAAGAGACTGAGTACTTCTATCGGGTCCTCTTCGGTTCCTCGGATGATGAAGAAGAGAAGGGTGCTATTCCTGAGCCCCGGGAGATCTCTAACGACCTCGACCAGCTGCAGGAGGACTTCCAGGCTGCCCAGCGTGCGCGTGGGGGTCTGGTGGTAACACGCGTCAGCGAGGAGCTGCCATCAGCTTAAGAGGATATTGGCCTCCCGAGGAGAGACCTCTTTCTGGAGCTTCTCGTCACCCCTCGTGGCCTTGTGGGTGGCCACACCTCTAGGGGCATTTGCGAACGCACCCTTGTCCAGAAGGAGCAGTTGTTTGCTGACAGCTTGGAGACGACTGGGTGTGTGCTTCTCGCGCCACACCGTGTCCCTCTTAAGGGCTTTACGACCTGTCTCAAGAAGCCCGAGAATATGGGTGGTCTCTACCCTCTCTGGGGTTGCCCCTGAGTTCTTCCCGAGAACTGTTACAACTGGAACTCGTGTGAGGACATATTCTGGGCGTGGGTTGAAGTACTCACCCTTGGCGTTTCGGGAGCTCCATCAAGATCAGCTGCTGTCCCGCATCCTGGATCAACGTGGTCTTCGTGATCAATCCGCCCACTTGGTCAGCAAGCGCATGCTTCCAAGGGACATTCTGAAGCGCGCGGCTTCTTGCGCTCACGATGGGCGCGAGTACAGAGTGTCGTCAACGTCCGTACCCCGTTCGGGCAAAAATCCCCGAACTACTAACGAAGCTGCCGCCGCTTCTGTTCCCAGATTGCGACAGCCTTCGAACCGTCTTTCAGGAGCCGCTCAATCGGCTCCCACAAGTTCTCGGAGTGGGCATAGCCCCTCCACGTCACGAGGAGCTGTCGCTTACCGCGACGCCGTGGCACCTGGGGATTTCACTCCACGTGGTAGTGGACCGCTCCGTTCCGGTCAAGCAGGGGCGGAGGTGTCCTCGTACGAGTACGAGTACCAGGCGCTTCCGGAGCATTACTCTCGTCCGAGTGCTCCACCTGCGGGTCCGACGCAGGGACCTGAAGTTGACCGCCTCCGTCAACGCTACATCGTGCTTGAGATTGCACTTGACCTTGGGGCTGGCAGTGATGCTGCCGCCCGAACCGAGAATCAGGGCGTGCTCGCTCGTCTTGCGGGCCGCCTGGACCGGTTGGAACGAGAGGTCTCGAGCCTGCATCAGCAGGTGGACGGCCGGGACGCTTCGTCCGATTTTGACGAGGCCTTCCACATGATCCGAGGTGTTGAGGCTCTGCTGCCACGGCCGGAGCCGCCTTCGACGCACTCCCAGCCGTACGCGTATAGTACGTACCCGACGTACGCGGTCGAGGCTTGGGAGCCTGCTTCGGCGCCCTCGTCGACATCTGTGGCCGGACCTCGCTTCGAGGAGTTGGGCCTAGGTGGTTCTGCGAGTCAGCAACCCCCTGCTGATCAAGGCACCGCTTAAGACGTCCAACGTAGAACGTCGGGTGCGTCATCAAAGACTAGGCAGGTCGATGGTGTACGACGCACCATGCGTGCCCAGGACTGCGAACGGTCCAATGAAGCGGTGCTTCAGCTTGTTGCTGCCGACAGAGCTGATAGTGTCTAGCGGTAGCCTCCTCGTGTCTAATAACACTCATTGACCCACCTTAAACACAGTTAAGTTTCTTTTTCCATGTTTGCCAGAGTGCTCCTTCTGTCTGCCCTGGGCCACTGCCATGGGGCATTGCGGACCCTGCTGATCATACTTAGCTTGGTATCCACAAAGGTCTACACTTGTTTCCGCAGCGAAACCGGTCTCACATCTGAGACCTGGGAGGAAAGAGCTTTCCGAGCCCTCCCCCCACTTAGAATAGAGGATGCCGCGTCTCCTCGAAGAGTGAGATGCACTCTGGTGTGACGGAAGACATTCAAGTACTGTAAAACATTTGTGCATCCGGACCTTTTGTCCATCCGGACGCCAGAATTAGCCAATCATAATGATGTAGCTATTTGAAAAAAACTTACTATGGAGCATTTGTCCATGCGGACCTACCTATTTTTACCCACTCTACTATTTATGCACAGGATAAAGCCGCGGTGAAACTACTAGCAAGCAGACAACCAGCCTTTCACATTCAGAGCCTGCAAGTGCCAGCATGGCAAGAGGGCGGAGCCGCGCTCCTGGTGGCGCTGGGCGAAAGCCAAACGGCTACAAACGCGAGTGCGAGAGCTACACTAAAAAGCTGGACGTAATAAATTTCCTTCGTGACAACAATGATGACATGGATGCTACTCTCGATAGATTTTACTGCCAACTCATCCCAGCAAAACGCGTATCAAAGCGCAAGCGGATCAACGAGTGGTCGAAGCAGCGTACACACATTGAAGCCATGGTTGCCTCCACCGCTACGGCAAATTTGAGGTCTTACAGAGCCCCAGGAACAGCAACAACAATCAGCAAGTCTGGAGAAGAAAGCATTGTTGAGTGGATTAATTCGCTACGTGGTGAGGGTATCCCTGTGTCCCGTCTAATGCTTCAACTTCAAGCTCAGGAAGTTGCCCGTGACGAAGGCGTAGCAGATGGTGTTTTCACTGGGAGTTGGTGCTGGCAGCAGGGGTTTCTGTCTCGTCATGTCTTGTCTTTGAGAACAAAAACTCGTCAAGGCC